TTTTTTTCGCACTTTTGCCTTCCACACTGATAGTTTGCATTAAACTGAACGCAAAACTTAAATGCCGTCCCAGATTGTTTTTTTACCACTAGGAACAGCTTGTCGGGGATCCTTAGTTTGCCATTAAGTACTGAAAGGGAATACGCTTTTACATTCGGTGGGCAAGCGAATCCTGAGTTCATGGCCAGTGTAACAAGTGCCTATATATTACTCTGTAGTGCAGCCGTGGAGTGCAGTACGAAGACCGTCTGGATTTCGGTGCGAAAATGCCATATTAGTGATGTTACTGGGATGCTCCCACACACCAGATGCCGGGCTCTTGGACCCTGAGTTAACACCACTGGTTTGTATTTGCTGCGTGTTTGGCGTGCACTACATCTTCGGAGCCACCCTTATGGAGTCATTTTATATTTATTGCGAATATTACTGCATGATGTGCGGCGTTCACCGGCTGTCAGCAAGACGAGCAACATTCCTTCAAAATTTAGTTTCTCTCGTAACAGCAGTACAATCCTGCAGTTCGCTTGTGTGACGGAAACTGTTACTGCGCATAGTGATGCTAAAAGACATTTGTATTTTTCACTACATTTCTCTTTCCGTTATAATTGTCAGTCGCTGTCCCGTTTTTAACAGCTCAGTCGCTTTTCTGTTTTTAACAATAATCAGATGTTTTCAATACAGCGATATTGGGCAGATAGGCACGAAATGACAGTACTAGTCAAGTACAGTATAAGCAAAGACGTGTTGTAACTGAAAATATTCTCTAGCAGCAGTTTTTTTTTTTTTAGAAACAGGTCGAATGGCCGTGGTATAACGTTGCAACTGTTGAGGGAACAAGCCACGTTGTGACACACTACTGGTTACCATCGTTTGATGAAAATTCGGTATGTGTACTCACTAAGGCGTACCTCTCTTTCTGTTTTTGGGATCAGCAAGTTTTTAATTGTTTCACTGGCGAATTTTTGTAGGTTGGGAGCACACAAGCGACAGGTCAATGTGAACAGGAGAAAGCCCCACTTGAAGTAGGTTCGGCGTATAACTTTCGAGTAGCTGCCATAAACAGCTGTGGACGAAGCGAGTGGTCTCCAATAAGCAGATCTGCGATGCCGGTAAGCTAAACACATCGGTCCGTTTTGATTAGAACAATTGACTGCATAGGAGCAAATTTGTTTTTCTTAGCTGTGATGTAAGTATGCTTTAGGGCTATTTCTGGATAATGAAAGCATTTGCAGGTATATCCGTTAAAACCGGCTGGGTTTCCTAGTGCACCTCAGAACGTCAGAATACAGAAGATCCCTGGTGGAATGAAGTTGATGTGGGATCCTCCGCGTGATCCATGCGGTAAATGCTTTTTTCTAAAATGTTAACTTCGGCAGCGCTCTCTAATTCCCAGTTTAAGATTATTTATATCATTGCTCAGTTAATTATTTTTTATTTTCTAGGGAAAATAGTGGAGTACACCGTTCATATGGCCATCGATAATAAGGATGCTCGTGGTAATCAGCAAATGACTTTTGTTCGCGTTTATGCGGGAACGGTTGCCGGTTGTGTTGTCCCGTCATCTCGTTTGGCTGCCGCGCACATCGATCGCTTTGTTGGCCCGAGTATCCTTTTCCGAATAAGTGCTCGCAATGAGAAAGTGCGTGCTGAATTGTTTATAGATTTTTGCTTACTTTTTCTGATTTTCTCAGATAGCTGGTGTCGTCCTATGCTTTTGCTTTTGTGGGTTAATTATCTGAAATCAGCAGCGCCTTTTTTACAGGTTTCGTTAGAAACGATCAAGCATCCTCCTGTTTTGGCATTTTGAATTGTCATTCTGATAGGAAATTTGTCTATTTTTTAGCCGGAACAAAAAAAAATGTGTGGGATCATGTGTGTTTACGCCTTAACTGTCTATTCCTGTTCTTACGTTTCCACGGTTACACTCATGCAGCATGCTAGTTCAACTTGTTGCTTTTTACTGTCCAATCACCAGTCCAGTTTTCTAGGTCACCTTTTTTTGTTTGTTTAAATTAAGAATTGTAATGGAATTTGTGTTTTGCAGGGCCGTGGTATGGGCAGACTGGTGCGTTGGTTGCAAGATAAACGTCCTTCTGCGGTGCTCTATCATGGGGATGAAAGCTGTGCTCGTGTACGTCCAAGTCCACTATATCATCAGCTGGATCGATCAGCATCTGGCTCATATATTCCTCATAAAAAACCTCATCTCGGATGATCTGTATTTTTATTTTTTTGACGAAAATTAGCTTCAGTTTATTGATTTATCAGTTAAACCGATGTTGATTTTTATAGAACAAAACCAAAGTTGAAAATCAAACCTCGCTGTATTCACTTCTTGGAGGAAGCGGAGACAGCCGTGAGTAGTCCGAGCAATTGCAGCTGCCAACAGGCTTCCGATGGCTCTTTCTCTTGAAAGTTGCTTAGAAGCAGGCTGCTTGATTCTTCGGTGTTCGCCACTTCTAAATTGCATTCGAAACGAAATAACGGATCGTGTGGGAGGCGGGGGAGAGTGACGTGCTGGTGCGGTCAAAAGCTGAACCTACAGAACTAAAGCAACACCACTTGCGGCTGTGTCGTGCTCGCCAATAAAATAGGATTATGTGCTTTTATCAGGACTTGGTTTTTTGTGTCCATACTTTAGGTGCTTATTTGATCGAGATTTTAGCACGATTAAATACTCATTTGATACTCTACTCATCTATCTTGAAATGCCCAATT